TAATAATATATATTATTCTACAATATACTCACAAACACATTGATGAGAATAAATTACATATTTACATGCATGCATATTTACATATATTCAGTATGCTAGCATACATATGTAATTGAATTGAAAAGTCTACATATTATTACATAGTATACTGCAGGGATGATCAAAATACTTTTAAAATTTTTTTAGATACCTACTGAATGAAAAATTCATCAATCTTCATAGAATGAATACAAGATATTATTAATTTAATAACATTTATAACAATTCTAAGTCGTTTAAATAAATTAACAATTGTCCTTCAAAAGGCAAATTTTTCAAAATCATGTTCTGAAACTCCAAAAATACATTAAAAACATTCGTTTGACCGGGGATTCAGGAACACGTCTTCAACCTATAATATTGAAACAAATAAAAAGTTTCATTATTAATAATAGTTAGGTTGTGTGAAAAATGAAAAGTAAAATTCATTAAATTTAAAATATTTAGATTATGTTATTATTAAAAATACTGAATACATTATTGAATAGGTAGAAATAGTATTTAAATAACAAGTATTTCAAGATACAAAATACTTAAGAAAAATATTAAAAATAAGATACAGTTATGTTTTAAACACGTACTTTATAGACGTAATAGTACTTAGTTATTAGTAAAAATGTAAATACTTTAAGTAGAAGAAATGATTTTTAACCAGTGTTTGTTTCGTCATATGTATTACAACAACTATTGTATCTGTATGACACGATATCGGAAGCCCCATTATCACACTACAAAATAATGAGTCCGTATAATTGAACACTTGTTCTTATCTGAAATATATAGGTTATGTTACCTATGTACAATTAATATCCCATTATTATTATTACATAATTTTTACATTTTACCAGTAATTATGTACATATTCATATGTCATAGATACCTACTATGGCGTTTCAATTACATTGATTTCACGTGTAATTCGAATAAAAACGTGGAAAAGATTTACAAAAGTTTCTACTATTATATTTTTAAATACATCCGGCACGATTTTGTGGATCATTATAAAATATATTTAGTAATATAAAATTGAATGATGTGCTAACCAGTATAAGCTCCTGGCAATAATATACCTGTGAAAGATACCTAGGTACGCCTACGTTTTAAAATATATGTCCCAAGACAATTATCGCGCAGATTACCAACTATATCGAAATCAAGAAGGACATTACGACATTACCATTATTATTTTGTTTTGTATAACACTACAACGTATTAGAAATTAGAATGCATATATATTATGCAGTGGACCATAATATAACATATACAATAGGTAGTAGGCAGGATCGTCCTTAATTCGTATATACAAGTGTCTTTAAAATACTTACCTTTTTAAATATTCATAAATTAATTTATTCAAAATTAATGAACTTCAGAAGAATTAACCATCTCTAGGTAATAGTAATACAAGAAATATTGTAATCTTTGCATTATACAAAATAAGTTATGGCAGATAGTACATGGAATAAAAAAAGCTCTAAGGTTTTCTTAAAGCTTAATGTATCCTAACAATTTCGTACTTTTACTTTGCTATATTTGCTCTATTATTAATATTTCTAAGAAATATCTTTGTTATTATTTTTATATAAAATACAAAATTTTTTATGTCATAAGATTCTCCAATAATTGTTTTTTTATCGCGAGGCCCATGGCCTACCCTCTGCCACTCCTGAATATGCATAAATATAATATATAATCATTAATCACCAATAACTGAACCGACAGAAATCGTTTGAATGGCATATAATATACAATATACTAATATACATCAATACATGTTATATTATTATCCCTGGACTTAAAATCAGAAATTTCTCTTAAATGAATTCTTCTCGATGCCTTACTCAGGGTCGATAGTGTTTATACCTATATTATTGTTACGTATACATATAATATATACATGGCACATTGGCAACTAAACTATATTCGATCGTTTGGTACGATGACGTTATGTAAAATTTCGTTGACTGCGCGCGTATATCGCAATTCTCTCTCCCCCGCGCGTTTGTACCGTTCTTGAAAGCCTTATAACGTTCACATAATATATTAAAATACGTGTACACCTATAACTAGTTTGAATATTGCGTAATAGCGATATAAAACGGCGTCCCTATTTACCAGCGAATCGCGTATATAGGTACATGGCTATGCCACAATACAAAGATAATAACATATTATATATTGTAGCTTATATAGGTACTACGAAACGACATCTATCGTTCACACATTATTATAATATTATAATATTGTACGAGCATCGGTGAGTTGGTTTCACAACGTCAGGCTTTCTTCAATCTCTCCGAGATTAAAATTTAATCGGGTTACCGATTATTTCTTGCCCTTGGCATCAATATAATACATTTTATGTATACGTATATAGGTACCCGTGACATTCGAGTGTATAACAGTGCAATGTATTTTCATCGAAAGTACGTCGTATATTATGTATTATATTATAAATTATATTATTGTAATAATATACGCATACACGTCATTTGTGCAATGTACACAACGCCGCTCAGTGCTCTAGGCTATTGCCAACTTTATTGGGAACCGAAAGTTGAAAACATTATGATATGCCTATAACGGCATAATACAACGAGATAGTAAAAATATTTACAAAAACATAATACCGCCAGTGCACACGCGTATTTTCCACGAATACAATATCCTGATGAAATATGTAAACTTATATTTAGGTATATTCGTCTAAATAATTGTGTCTCTCTATAATGTATCTGCAGCTGTATATTTATTTAATGCATATGCGTTGTATTTATTATCACAACTACTGTTATTTTATTTTTCTCGAGGTTATTTTTATACAAAAATAATTTAAGTAATATATCTCCTATATATAATTACCTCGTAGAACTTGATACACATTATTATATTTATGTGTAATGAAATACATTTATATTAAATGCAATAACGTATAATGATAAAGTGATATATATTTATGAGGATTGTCTATTGACTCTTAATTGCGGTATATATTATAAATCACCTATACGTCATAATAACATAGGTATTATATTTTTGCGTATTGTTGTTTTTTAGTGTACCTATACTTCATTCTATAGTAATGCTTATTATACAAGGAAATAAGCATTTATGAATTATGATGACATTATGACGTGTACACATCACTTATCACTTGAGTCTTAAGCTTATTAATTTCTATGGTTTTGCTGGTTTAAGATAATAAAACTTTGAATGCATCTCGTAAAAAATGTGTCACATACTTAACGAATTTTTTTTTTTTTAATTATAAATGCGTTATAAATTGTATTATTTTAATATTGTTAGTTAAATTAGATACATCTAATGTACTAAGCCTAAGCTAACAATACATAGGTACTAATATCAATATATATTCTAATAATTTTAAATATATTTAGACTATTACTTTTATGTACACGTTCATAGAAGTACTTACAACCTCTATATGTGCCTAATGTGTATATAATAATATTGTTAATATTAATAACTCATGTCTAACTACTTAATAGTTATAAATTAAAATTTTCTATATCATTTAACATTTTTTAAAGCGAAAACAACAGTATTAAAATATAAGAACATAAAAGTTATGTATTAATTATAGATTAACTTTATTACAAAATTTTACAATTATTGCCATCAATCAAATTATTTCATTTAGTAATGGTCAGTATCTTCCGAGGTTAAGGGAAATACATATAATAAAAAAATCTTTTTCAAAAATGTATATCTAATTTGAGAGAAAAAACGTGAAAGAATATAATAACACTATTAAGGTTTTGTTTTACTGCCGAAAAGAGAAGTATGTCAGAAAAGACAGATAAGAATCATTTCTACAGGTACCTACTAATTATATTACATTACAATAAATGTCCACATAGTCTCATAGATAACCCTCTCCATACTAAAAAAAAAATTTATTTCGCTCTCGCTAAGACTAAATCTATTTATTATTTTTATTTAAAACCAATTTCTTTACGCCCTTAAAATAAAGATAAACCTATATACATTAGAGAGATGCATAGAGAAATGCAATTCTCTTTTCCCCTTTAAATCATACAGTTGGTACTTTGTTTATAATTTTTTTTAGAAAATAAAACAAATTATTATTATTATTTATTAAAGGAAAAAATTATTTAAAATTTTGTTTGCGTGGTATACTGTATTCTTGATAAATAAAACAAAATTATAAACACGAACGAAGCATAGATTAATACGATTAATACTGTATATGACACGGAGTCACGAACTATTTTAAATTAAAATAATCTGTGAATAATTATTGTTTTTATACAAAAAAAAAAAAAAAAATGTGATATGGACATACTACACTTAAATAAAAATATGTCTTAATTTTGACGAATATAGTGTTGTAGTTGACTATGTATTTTTTTTTCACTTTATTATATGAGACTTTAATTCTATAATGATATCAGATTTTTGTACTTATGCCATTATTACATCTATAACTATTAGGTATCAATCATAAGTACTGAAAAATGTATAAAAAAATTACTTTTAATTAAAATTTGTGTTAATATTTTACTGATCGATCAATTTTTTTATAGAAATATTATAAAATTGTAAATTATTATGGTATAAATATAATGTAAAAACAAAATTCCTTGCTCTACTCTGAATTTAAACATGTCTAATATTTGAAATAAATTTAAAATTTAATATTAGTGCATATACAAAACATTACATAGTACCATCACCAATTTTCTGTAGTGTTTATTCTAGTAACACTAATTATCGTTATTTTTTATTTTAGCAAAACAATAATCCATTTTAGTTTGTAAAATGTATTAAATATTATAATACATTTCTGTATAGTTAAAAATGCTTAACGAGATATCAAGAGGGGAATAGAAATAATATTAATTATCATTATAATGTAAATAAATATTGTTAAAATTATTTTATTCATCAAGTATAATATTTATCTTTTTTATTTTCAGATCCAGAATACTCTTCCGAACATGTTGGTAAGTCACTAACACTATAATATTTGTTTAATAATTAATATTAAATTGAAATAAATTGGATATCATTATGATTAGTTATAAAAAAAAAATGTTGTCGTAGGTATTAAAAATTATTATTTCTATATAGAGATGATTAGATGTAGATGTATGTGATCAATGCTAATGGTGCATGTATTTTTTTAATGTATAAAATGAACATTTTTAAGTAAAACGTATAGGCATTATGCATAGAAATGTTACATAATTAAGTCGACATATGCATTTGTATATTTAGACAAATTATTACCTAATTTGATTAATTAGTTTCTTATTATTTAAGTAAACGTTAAATTGTAAAATACAAAAATATAAAAATACTATTATATTTAACAGTTATTCTATTTATAATCAACTGTGCAATTATCGAGAGGGTTTGGATTGTCAATCAATGCAGATACCTCAATATTAACTGACATAAGGTCAACTAGATCAAACTAATAATAGTTTAGGTATTTTCGTATTTTATTACACTTTTCACAGCAAAAATATTAAAATTATATTTTAATTTATGAAAAAAATTCACGAAATACAATCTAATGGATTTAATATTAATAATAATAATAATGTAAAATTATCAGACATAATGTAGAAAAATATGAATAAATTATATATTTTCTTTTATCATTGATTAGTATTAATGTGTAATATTATTCTATAAATAGTGAGCATTCAGTGATATATTGCTAAAAAAATTCGTGGGTAAATATGTGATATAATACTATATATCCTCATATTTCACTTTAGGAAGATGACGTATAAAAAGGTAAAAGTCTTATAATTATGTCAAAACATCATTATTTCATTTGTTCTTAATAATTATTTTATCTAACACTATTAACAAGTATAGTTTGAATTATACAAGACTCGTTTTAAATAAAAATAAAAGCAAAAAGAAAACTGAAGGTAACAGATTCATGAATTTACTAAATTTGAATATCAATTTGAATTAATCAAAGCTAAAATAAATTGTTTAGACATTTTTACACATTATTATTTGCAAGATAATAACCATATATGTCAGATAATTTTTAAATTTATATATATTAATAATTAGTAATTATGGTAGTTGTAAATTCTTAACTTTAGTTGCCCATTGATTAAAATTTAAAAACATAACAACATTTTTATTTATTTTTATTAAGGATCCAGTACTTGGAAGTATTATTGACCAGTTATACATTTTACTGATGGCACTTAAATATAAAATTCGAAATTGAATAAACTATTTATTTTTTTACATTGGATCCCAATCAAAAAAATTTTTTCTACAAAAAAAATAATCTTTAAAGTTTAAATAATATGTTTAGGTATTAGATTCTAAATAATAATTAATAGTATTTAAAATATGTACATCTAATTTTATTTATATTATTAATTAAAAATTAAAACTAAGCACTTAAACACTAAATATATTATTTTTATTTGTAAAAATGTATATTCATTTTTTATTACGTAATATATTAGAATCTTATTGATCATCAACTCAACGACTAAAATTTTTATTTTTTTTAAATAAGCGTAAAAACAAAAAAAAAACATAAATCAGGATCCTTTTATTAAAAGCGATACCCAGACCTATGTTTAACTAGTTACGCCACTAGAAATAGTAGTAATAATGGTAGTAGTTTCATATCTATAAACTATACTTCGTAAAGTGTTTAGTTGTATCTGAATTGTTTACTAACATGTTTCTATTAAGCCATTTATTAAGTACATATTGGCATATTGCATGTACCTATACATTAAAACATAATGCAAATGTTGAAATGTATTCATGTATCTTATAAAAGAATCACAAATCTGTTAAATCTAAAAACAAATTTTCAAATCGGGATTTCTATAATGTAAGTCACAGGTTAAAAAACAACTATCTTTGATTTCATTTATTATTATCTAACATAAAACCAACCAAGATTTATATCATATCAACATAAGTATTTAAAAGTGAAGCATATAATGACACTATTTTACCAAATACTTTAACTGATGATTTAACATAAAACTTACTACATGAAATGAAATAAAATAATAATATTTCCTCTTTGGAGTATTTACAAAAAAGTAATCATAAATAATAACAACAACGAATTTCTTTTCAAATCGTAATACTAAAGTAAACACTGCAGTTTAACTGGTTAGTAGTTATAGATAGTTTAAATTACTAAGCTTTGTAATTTTAAACTTCATCATTTTTTTTTTTTTTTTATTATTAAGTATAAATAAATATAATACTTATACAATTACCTTTACAGAATATTATTATTCATATTATTCATGTATAAGTAGTAAATAACTACTCGATAAAATAATTTAAAAAATCTTTGGTTATTAACCAACTAAACATAATATTTTAACTTTTAAGTGGTTGATTTGTTTAATTTTTTTATTAAAAACATTATTTGAATGTAGTTTGATCTAAATAATAAGAACAACTATGAAATTGTATTTTAAATTTTATAAAAATTAAAGTCACATATTTGGGAATCAGATCATTGTAAAACTTTATCCATATCAATTCATTAAGTATATGTTTATTGCATTTTAAAATCTGATAATCCAATAAATAAAATACAAATCAAACTAAAACAAAAAAAAAAAAAAAAAAACACAAAAAAAATTATAATTTTATTTCAAAATCAAATTTTATTTATAAATTATAATAGGATAATAAATCGATACTTATCTTTTTTCTAATAATTTAAATTCTATTAGGTCGTTACTAGGTAAGGGAATTTCAATAGTATTTAATGCATTTTTAAAACCATTATATTTAGTCATATAGGTACATTAATATTTGCTCTTTTGGCTATCCTGATATCACAATCAACTTATTTTTTTAATGATTGTTCAAGTTTCGCCATTATACTCAATTTCATTATCACTTATTAAAACAATAAAAATAATTAATGAGTAATTGAATATTCCGGAAAATTCATATATTATCTATGATTTAACAATAACAATAGATAACTATATATTTAGATATATAAGTATATATATAGTTCCTAGTATTATGTTTATCATTACGCCGACCCATAGGTTGTAAAACTTTTCATTAGGTGACTAAATGTCAACCAAAAGTAATCAAAATAATTATATATTATAATCATAATAACTATATAGTATGTTATATCATTGAATATATATTTTTAAAATATAAAATTATATCTATACATATAATGTAACTAAATGCCACTATTATATAATTGTACTTTTATAAGGGACTTACGGAGCTAGGTTTATTTTATTAGAGATTGATAGTTTAGTATTGCACACAATTAAAATTATATTTATTTTACTAAATTTAGTTAAAAATATCCAAGTTCTAATTTATAATCAATTTATACAATATATAAAGTACCTAAATTATATTGGATTTATCAATTTATAGAAATTTAAATAATTTTATTTATTCTTTTATTCTCTAATGAAAACTATAAAATATTTAAAAATCATAATTAATCTTCAGTTATAATTGTATCCTCATCTTCACTATTATGAATTATACTGTAGCGAAATAACCCTTCTTATTCATGGATAATCATCATAATAGGATACCAATATCGGTCACTTTATCTTGCAATAAAATACTAATTTCTTAAAAATTCTATCAAGTATCTGTCTATGCAAACACCACTATAAAATGTTTAGAAATCTTTTCCACGCGAATGTCTTACTCCAATGATTGCAAACCGATTTACAATAATCTCTTAAAATCCTTCACATCTCTTCAAAAATAAATTATGCGGAGATTTCATGACTAAACTAGTCACTGAAATTCTGTTAATGGATGATAGTTTTCATACGCGCAAAATACCTACTGTTAATTATCTTTTTTTATATAATTTATGAATATTGCACTATATTATAAATTAATTATACATTTAAATCTTCGACAGAAATTAAATGTAATTATTATTTCTAATTAACTACAATTTATTATTTATTCATTTTTTTAAAACATTTAATTACTTATTATTTTTAAATAATAAAATTACGTATTTGTTATTTATTGCAGTTCGAGAATAAATTTAATTTTAAGCTTTTTACGCATTCATTGACAATTAATGGTTTAACTAATTGCCTACTATTTGTAATGATACAGATAAACAAATCATGTTACAAATTATTACATTGTTGTTGCACAAATGTATACCTTACCTAATACAACGAGTATATTACCAATTATTATTTATACTTCAATACTAATTTCAATAATTTAAACGTGCAATCAAACATCAATAATAAAAATAAATTACTAATTTGCCAATTAATCCGCTATATGTGATATTTAGATTTAAAATAAGTTCTTTAATACTATCAAAAATAACATATATAATCTAATATAATATCTACATTTATTGAAATAATGACATCGATATAATTCGCACTGTTTTAATCTAAAACAAATTTCTGTAAATAAATGTATTAATATTTATAAGTTATTCCTATATTCCTTAAATTAAAAATGAATTAGGTTTTAAATTAAATTAATTATTTAATTAGAAACTAAAAAATTACCAGTTTTCATTCAAAATAAAATTTATATTTTTAGATAAAAACAAATTTATAAAAACATATGATTAATGAAATTTTTGATGTAGATCAATAGACCATTATATACTTATAGTCTAATATATATTTCTAACTAAACTTAAGTGTAATAGTAATGCGTATCGATGATTAATATTGAATTTAATGTCTATATTTTTCACAATGGTATTTAAATTATTATATTTGCCTACATTTATTAGGTGATTAGTTTTTCTCGTTTCTAATTTGTACAAATATATAATAGCATTCTATAATGTTAATCTCGAAACATAATAAAAAGATACTCTTACGACCGCTACCCCATACAGTTACACCTATCCAGAATATGCAGATGAGTATTTTTACTGTTAAAAATACAATAAAAACTTTTAATATGACTTTTGGACTCTATTTCTCGATAACAAGACATTCAAAATAATGAGAAACATTACTTTTTTCTATTCCAACAATATATGTTACATCATAGTCACTATAATATACATTAAAAGGTAGTAAATATTATACATTTATATTTCCTGTATGGATTGTCTGGTATTATTATGTATTAGTAAAATTAAAAAAAATATCATTAAATACCATTATATAAATTAACATAAAATAATCAATTTTAATAATATACGTATTTTTACTATAGACTGTTTGAAATGAAACCATAGTACCTATATAGCACATACGATTTACCACTCGATAGATAACTGTTATAATATACCAGTTACAGACTACCTAATCACGATCAGCAGGTGGTGATCCTCGAACTCGTAACCTCAAAATAATTAATGTCACTGAAATATCGACAATATCGTTGAATAATAATAAATATAAAAATATATATCTAATCATTAAATATAATTGATATACTCGTAAGAACGTTTAATAATCAGTGTTCGTATACGGTATACCCACAACTGAACATATACCTAAACGTCCTAAACCGTAATAAAATTTAAAAACAATATTGAAATTTTTAAATTACAAACCCTTCGTTCCACTAACTTCAATGAAATTGTTAGCTAACTATAAATTTGATTTTTAAAATGCATAATACCTAGTTGTATAATATAAAAAAAAAACATCGAAGGCGTTTAACAAACACGTACATAGCACGTGGGTTTAATAGAATGCTGAACATAGTATTATTTTATTTTTCTTATACAAAACACAAATCAAGGTTTCTAACAATTGATATACTAATATTCAACCAACTATATATAGGTATAATTTGAAATACTTTTTATATTTATTAAATTTTAATAATAATAAAATTCCAGTGACAGACAAGTATAATTATTCTCAATAATAAAAAAAAGATTATAATATAACGTAGATGTAAAAATGTGATTTTATTTAAAAATGTAGGGATGAGAAGCCCTGAATATTGTGTGTCTGGCAGAACATGCGGACAAAGCGCGTGAGAGGAGGGAGACAGAAGAGAGGAAGTTAGTGACCTGCGGAGAAGAGTCGATGATCCCGTCTGCGCCATTATATACTAACGAAGGAAAAAATGCATAAAGAACTTATTTTAGCCCCAAGAAACGTATATAATATAAATATTTTTTTCCCGAGGCAAACAACTATCTTCAAGTATTTATATTATCAAATCCTGTCGACTAAACATCTACTGAAGCGGTCAACAATGTTTTTTTATTAAAGTAGAATATCATAATATTTTAAATAAATCGCAAATATCGTTAGGAAGAATTTTTATAAAATAATAAAATTAGCATCTTACTAGGAATTGGGCTTCAGAAAAAGTATATGTAATTCACGTTAAGAAATATTATATGCACATAATTTAAAAGTACTTTAATATAACACGGGTATATTCGCTGATACACCTAAAATACATACTGCAGATCGTAATATAGACTCGTTCTATCGTAGACAATTTTATTAATATAAAATCAAATTTCATCCGATTATTATAAATTCACGTGTTTTTGATAAAGCTCGTGAATCGTATAATATTAATAACAATAATTATAATTATTTAGTAGTGTAATAATTGTTATGGTTTTTTCTTTATAGATGTTCCAAACGAAGGAGTATACATGGTGTGCGGTGTCCTCATCGCCATGGTGCTTGTCGCTGTGATAATAGTAATACTAGCAGTTACTATAAGGTGAGTTGAAATGTTACATGTATATGTAATTTGTATTTTTCAAAAAGTGCTTTGGTCTGGCGATGTAGCGAATATTTACAAAGAACAAGGGTTTATATAGTACATTAAAGAAACATGGTTGCGGCGCCGGACGAGACCCGTACTGGAGATCCTTGAACCTTAAGAAATCACTCACACCCGCACGCGCATGTTTACAGAACATTAATACACTCTCACACACATACTTACAGACATAAACACTCACACACACACACACACACACACACACACAAACTTTGTTCTTTGTTCAATAGATTATACATATATAAATATATATACTGCGTTTAACCCAATGCGCACCTCAATGAGTGCATATGAATCCATTTACTATAATATACTAGTCTACAATATAATATATATATATATTTGTATTTATTCGATTTGAATGCAAAATTAACGTTAATATTTCAAATCTCGAGGTCCGGGAGAAATCGGGTCAAATTATTCATTTTCCGTGCCCACCACCAATGCCAGGGTCGGACCGGGTTATCCGCGGATGGTACATCATAATCGTAAAAACTCATAAAATTATATATACAATAAATAAATGATATTTATAATTGGCAAAAAAAAAACTTTAAATCAGTTAATTTATTCGCTTATAAAATTAATATAGGTACGCGTTGTCGGATATGGAAGAGCGTCAGTCGTGTATCACGTGGCACACCAGTGACATTACAAAGAATTCTTATAATTTACCGTAGTAAAAAATAACATTTTTGTTATCATATCAAATTTTCCTCAGAATTTTCTTAAGAAAATTTTTTTTTCAAATTACAATAATTCGTAATAACTTTTAAAAATTAAATCGGTTTAATCTCTGATACATAATTAAATATTATATATGTATTGTAAATTAAAAAAATAATTCTATTTATTTTGGTACTTATTTGACGATTTAAAATACAATTATAATACATTTATTCAGGTAAAATAGCTATCTATAGTATTATATATTATATATTTTATATTTTGGTAGTCCGAAAAATATATTATATTATATTCCATCTTCTTATATAATTTCTTGTAGGTGATGCAAACGTGGTAAATATTACATATGATTGTCTCAGAATTAAAATTAATCAATTCTTTATAATTTATTTAATATATGCGTTTCACAAACATTTAAATAAATTGCTTGATGATAAAATTATACTAGAAAACATTTGATTGCCTTATTCAAATATTAAAGGCTTTTATATAAACACCCAACATCTTAATACAATACGGCCCTATACATATGACAAAAAACCTCATTTTCTAATCAATGTCAGTCCACATAGACCTTGAAAATATAATTTCGGAAATTAATTTTGATCTAATTCTATATAATTTATGAATGATCAGGATATTTTATTTTCTAGAGGTCTACCTCTTTAATGTTCATTTATTCAATGTTTTTCAATACATTGTAAATGTCACCGTGATTGACATTTTGGCTACAGTATTCTATTTACCTTGAAAACTTATAATTTTTTTTCGATATGCAAACACGACCGCGAACAAAACCCGATGCATAAGCTTATCGATAGTTGTTAAAGTATAATAATAACATGTTTACTGTATATGTACTTCATAAGTCATAAGTAATAGGTTTACTAAAGTGTGAAATCATAATATTATTGTTGTACCTAACTAGGAAAATTTTATTTCAATTATTATACATAAATGTTTTCCTTACGTCGCATACATCGGTTTTACTATAGTTATCCAATTATAAATTAAAACACTACACATAATATCATTAATCACTTGTTCGATTCAAAGTTTATAGTAAAGTTAATTTCTGCATTAAATGTACAGTGCCCATATGGAAAATACTAAATAGCAACATCTGCTTCCAAGAATTAAAATTATGTAATGTATGTCGAGTTATTGCTCTATAAATGCATTTAAATTATATACTATATAATATATAATATAAATGTTTAATTCTCATGCTGTGGAGAAATTTTATTCTTGTCAGATTCCGGATAGATTTCTAGCCACTGATGGACGATTTCACTTAACTCACCGAATATGATATTCAGTCCTTGATAATCTGTTCATGGTTTAAATACAAAATAAAGTATATAATGTTCAGGAAGTTCTATTCGATTCTGATTTAAATGTAGTTAGTAATGATTACATTTTTATTTTATTTTCTACATATGATTCGCTTTCTAAATTGTATGTACATCTGTAATATCTTGAGTCAAAAACAAAATATTACATACTACTGTTAGTAAACAGGTATTATAATTGTTGTAATAAAATAAAATAAATTGTTATACATTTAGTAAACTATCCCTAACCGTCATCCGATGACTTGACAAGAATAACGTAAAATTCAAAAATATATTTTATCTTGAAAATGCGTTTCAAAAAGTATACATCAGTATGCACGTGTGCAGGCGGCCGATTCAAGCAAACGGGGGTTGCCTAGGTGAACCATGACGTCATTACTTGCTGGGTGGATCGATTGCTCGCTATGGTTCCCGTATTTAGCCAAAACTTTTAGTCATTCAAATTCAAAAAGAGGGTCTGTTTTTAAAGGGAAAATCCGTACTCCAATAAATGTATCCTTTGAATTAAATTAGATACATATAACTCATTTCCAACGAATATATTAGACGATTTAATATGTCAATATATTTTTGGTATATTAATAAAAGTAATAAATCAATAAAATACTTTTAAAATAACAATTATGCTAAGTAATGATTTAACAATTATCTTCAAAAGTTTATTATAATAGTACTAAATGAGTAATCATAAAATGCTTTGCTTTGATTACCGAAATGAGTAACTAAATACTGTATTTCCCTTTTTGTAATAATTTTTATAGATATATTTTTTTTAACTATACCCATATTCATAAACCATATAGATTATCTATATAGAATGCTAGTATAAGACAATATTATTATAAATATAACCAAGCCCGATCTTCTCACAATTAACGCTGTTTATCATGCAATTAATTATTAAATTGTGATTTATAATAAAATTTTGTAATTTAAATATAGTCAATAATAATATATTATACAATGCGTGGGTGTATTATTATATACGTTTATTTAGTTAACAAATTTCCATAAAGTGACATTCAAAAGTGAATATCACGTCAATGTCAAAAATGATCGCTAAACACTTAATAGTATACCTAAATTAACACTGTATGTATAATAATATGTTATTACATAAGTTGTTTTAATTATAATTTATAACACTCACAAATATATGTAAATATTATCTATATGCATGTATGAATCAAACAAAAATCCCATTATAGGAATGAAAGTCTTGATCACGCGATATGATATGCATCCTTAGACATTATTGTGGACGATACAGCTTCCTCCAAATAATTTACATCGTTTTTCTTCATAATATTAAAATATTTAATTTAATTTACCTTCAAAAAAAAAGTTGTCAGGGTATTTTTAGAATAATTTTGTTTTATGTAAGTTACATATTGCAAATACGTTGTATAAATATTAATATTTGTATAATATATTTAAAAATCACAATTATAAAGATTTTGAACTTTTATTAAAAATGTCAATAACTGACCTTTTATTTAAATATCAAATTATTAAACTTATTACAATTATCTAATGTTTTTAGTTTAAAAAAAAATCTCGACAAATAATGTCATGAAATAATTGAAATGATTTACTACCATCATATTGTTTAGACCAAAAATTCCAATAATTTTTATTTTTAATTATCACCGCGGTTAGTATAGTATTGTATAACTTAAACGAACTTATTATTGTACTGAATTTCCAGGCCTTATAGTGAAATATTAAATAGGTACATTATAAATAAATAGATAATAATAAATAGGTTACATATGACAAATGTTTAAAATTTTGTTATATCTATAAATTTTCTACTCATTTTCAATATACGATTTAATCCTAAGGGGCACAATTAATTTATGTATTAAGATAAGAATGCATATAAATATGTTAATATTAATTCAAATACCTACCTATACCTAAATGAACTAAAATAATAAGTAATACATAATATTATTCTCGTGATAAGCTTTGATATTATCCATTAACGACACTCATAGTTGACCTTTTTGTTTAATGATAATAAACCTATAGGCTGGTTTAAATTGGGAAGAAGAGTAAGACGGTCACGACTCCAATAATATCTACTTAAATACATAATTTTTCAAAATATAAATTCTCACATTTAATTTCAATAAATATAATGAAAAAAAAAAACAAAAACGGCTTATTATATGGTAATTTTATATTTTTTTTACAAAATTTGTCAATTTTTCCTTAAAAAAATTAAAAAGATATGCGGTCGAGACACTGCCTTTTACAGTTCTGCTTACATGGTAATTTCTACTATTAAAAAACAAAAAAATGATAATAAACAAAACTAAAGAAAAAAACAAATCGTAAAACCACTAAAACCAATAATACGCATTCCTCGCACCGTTTAGAATTTAAAAAATGTGGTACGATTTGTTCTGATACGTAGATATCAATTGGTTTTTATTTTTATTTTAATACGTCAACTTTTTATTATACACACATACTTACTGATCCGCTATAATGACTACGGTATATTATTATGCGATACTCGTGAGTAGATATAAACATATTATAATACATATAAAATACTACAGAAATTATAATAATACATAAATTTACAAAGTAAACCTAATCATAATAATAATAATAATAATAATAATAATAAAAACACACAGAAACGCTTAAATACATAATATGCTTATTATTACCTATACCATAATATTATACACAACGAGCGCTCAAACTGCGTTTTAGAGGAAATCCGTCATGCGGTCTTATGTCATATTATATTCACGTGTACATTACACATTGTGCGCGGTACTGAAAATTAATATCAAATATGTAGCACCGAACATAATATCCTGCTACACACGCGAATGTGCGTTTGAAGCGGTATAATTCTAAACGCGTCGCGAGGAG